AAACTGTGGAATCTGAAATTGACTTTTTCTGGGTTGGCTTTTGCAGCTGATAAATAACCTTCATAAGTCCGATCGAAGTTCTCGGGTATATAATGTGTAATTAAATTTTTGAATTTGATGAGCGAAAAAAGTTGGTCACGTGGATTTCGAACTGAAGATAACCAAATAAATTGATCCTTCGGAAAAATCCTTTTGAATTGATCTACAGAGGTCAAACTATAGTGCTCTGAAAAGTATCCGTGCCTTTTCCTTTCTTCTTTAATTTCATTGGGGCGCACGTACTCGTATTTGTGATAAAGCATCGAAATTTTTGTTATTATAGAATTGATTGTGCTGCCAGCTACTTTCACATTTTTTGAGAACATAATCTTTTGCCGTCCGTCTAAACACTCACATTGATTGTCCATGGGAAGCGCCGAGAAACGCGAAATATGCTCAAAATAGTTCGTCAAGTTCAATAAACTTTGTCTCGTGAACAAAGATAGACAAACTAGAAACACTAAAAACGATATCAGCCACACATATTATTTGAGCTTCATTTTTATTGAGATTGATTATCAAAAAAAAGTTGGAAACTGTCAAATTTGTTACACAGATTTTCGTTCATGCTGTTTTTATCACGACATCAAACATCAGATAGATGGATACGTGTCAATAAAAAACTGTGCAACTCTCCTTGTTGTCGATTTTACAGTAGGTGAAAAACAAAAACAGGAAAGAGATTAGAAAAAAGAATGACTATTAAACACACTCGGGAAGCCGGACTTTTATTCAAGTTTTGGTTGAAACCGCATGGATTTTTTAAGGGATTATTTATTTCATCTGCAACAGACAGAAAAAAACTATTGTAAAAACAAAATTTCATGTAATTTCTTGTAATTTTTTGTAATTTATTAATTTCATATAATATCCACACGAACACAAAATTTTGGCGTTTTTTCATTATCATTCTTGAGAGTTGGATGACTTTTTCTTGAATGAACACTATGAACTTTTTAAAATTTCGCTTCTACTTTTCAATTTGACCAAAAACTGATCAGCAAAGCTTTTCTTATGTGAGAAGAACAACTGGCTAACTGGCAATAATTTGATAAATAGATTGAATTACCCGAGTCGAGATGCTCACTTTTTGTTTCGACAGTCTCGACCGAAAAATGGTATGTTCCGACTAGCTTGACGGAAATTCGGTATGTTTCGACAATGCTCGACCCAAGCCAGATAAGTTTTGATCGTGCTCGACCAACAAAAAATGTGCTCGTCCGTGCTTAACGGACTTTGGGAAATTTTTGACTTCTCAACATCATGGATATCCAAAATTAAAATTGATAATTTTCGCTTTTTGTGTAACATCTTATGTTGTTTTTTCATCAGATAGAATTTATAAGGAGTATTTTTCATTTGAATGTATCGTTAAACTATTTATGAGCTAATTTTTCCATCTTTTGGATTACTGGCTTGCAATTTGAATCGAAAAGTTCGTTGATACTGAAAGAACATTTCTTTTGACTTTGAATTACCGCGGAACAATCAGTACTTTTTGAAAGTGCTGGAAGTTTGTTTCGACCGTATTCGAAGTATGTTTCTCTCCTGCTCAAGATACGTTTCGAACTTGCTCGAAGTATGCTTCGACTATGCTCGAGGAATGTTTCGACCGTGCTCGAGGTATGTTTTGACCGTGCTCGAGGTATGTTTTGACCGTGCTCGAGGTATGTTTCGAGATCGTGCTCGACCCGAAACCCTGTCTCGACCATTTTTTTGGGTCGAGCACTGACATGTGCTTGAATTTGAAATTCGAAAAACAAAGTGAGCACATCGACCGGGGTAAGAGAATTGCATCTAAGCTAATATCCTTCATATCAACCATAATTCAAACTGAATTCCGAACTAAATCTAAAAAATTTTAATAAAAGTAGACAAATTTCTATTTTTTAACTAGCCATTTTGACGGATTTAATTTAAATCTTCAAAATTTATCGTTCTTTTGATCTTAACTTTGAGCTAAGTTATTTTTGAGCTAAGTTATTTTACCTGTGATATTTGTCGTGCAGTTAAGGGGGTTTAAAGGTTGCCATTTTGGCAAATTTGTGACAACTAACGCGCGACATATTTTGCGCTATTAACACGTAAGCGGAGCCTTATTCCGTCTTCGATTTCAAAAAAAATCTGATATTAAAAAAAGGTTTTTGTTGGCTCCTCTCCTTCCTCCTCGGTCCACCTGCACTTTTTTATGACTAAATTTTCTGCTCCAATCATTACAAAAATTGCATGCGGGGTAGTTTGGCCAAAACAAGCATCTTTGGTCTGTATTCATAATTAGACTTGTAAAACCACTCATTACACCATAAAAATGATGGTTTTGTGAGGTTTTGATGGTTTTGTGAGATGGTTTTGTGAGCCACTATTTTTTAAATCATTTTCCCCTACAGCTAGTAAGCTGCTTCGTTTATCTTTATTTATTCAACCAAAAATCATTGTTGCTTTGTTGGTTTGCATTCTCATTTTTAAATCTTTTTTTGATTCAAAATAAATTGGCCAAGTTTATCCGGTGGCTCGCCATTCAATTTGAAAGCCTATAAACATGACAAGCTTTGTCATCATATTACCTAGTACATTTTTATTCTTGGCCATTGGATTTCGCAAAATTTTCATTTTGGCCGGACATTTTTTGCTGCTCGACAAGTTTGAATTGTCTTAAGTGCAGAAAAAATCGGGACAAAATAATAAGACTCGTATCAATTTCTTTTTTATTTCCGTCTTAACTGAGTTGGATTTCATGAAATTATTTGCTTCAATTTCTGTTATAATTGTCTTCATTATTTGTTAAAAAAAGTGTCGAATTGTCGATATTTTTTCCATGTTACCTTGCAAAATTGTTTTAATTAAGAAAATGGATCCGATATTTCCAAACAGAAAAAACTGATTGCGCACTCCAGGCGCGGGTCTAGGAATTTCTCGAGGGTGGGGGGCGGATTTTTAAAAAAATTTTGAAAATTTTGTCGGCCCCTTTTTTTTAGGTCGACCAAATTAATTTTTTGAAGTCTCCGAAACCACTATAAAGACCCTAATTTAACCAAATGTTTGCGCCGTAGACACATTTTTGGAAAAAGGTCAAGAACAGGCGTTTTTATGCACTTTTTGGAAAATTTCGACCAAAAACTCGCGTTTTTTCGCCGCGCGCTCCCCCCTCAAAATTATTATAGATTGGCGCCAAAGGCGCCTTTAGAAAAATTTTAAGGTCCATCAGCTAAAAATGGATATCTCAATATAGTACAAAAGGGGGGATCTTTGGGTCGGCAGGGGGTCGAAACCCTGAGGGGGGAGGAGCATCCGCCATCCCCGCCCCCTCCTAAATCCGGTAGTGGCGCACTCCGCTGTAAAAACGTGGATGTTAGCGACAAACATATCGTTTAAGAAATCGAAAAACACACAGTGGAAATGCGAGATCTCTTGCTCCAACTGTCAAAAAGCAATTGTCTGCAAAATCCAAAATTGGTATGCCTTTAGCATTTGTCTAGGGATTCAAAACTTAGCTCTCTTTTCAAATTACAGCAGGAAAATTTCTTCAATTTTTTCGGCAAGCTCGTTAAACTTTATTTGGAACAAAACCTGGATCTCACTGATTTTCTCTGTAAAACTAAGTCAATTATTTTGCCATTACGAGGCCGTATTGTTCATTTCGTGAATTCTTTAGCGGACTCCGCACTACGGACACTCCCTTTGATCTTCTTTTATTCTCTCATTTCGTTTGATCGTTCCGACAGAATTTTAACATGTTTACAGACTTTTATCTGGAATCCAGGATTATACAAACACAAAATTTCGCGCCTATCTAGTGCACAGTTGACCTCGTAATGGCTAATATTACAAATTAATGCTAATTATTTGCAAAAAAAATTGCGGCAAAACATGATGAAGTTAACTACTACTTTTAATACACACTAGCTGGTTCAATTGAATTAAATCTAATTACCCGGGTTGACGTCCATAGAAGAAAACTGCTTATCATACACTTTCATTATTGAAATCTATGGAAAAAGTGCTTATCATACAATTTTTATGTATGAAAATTATAAAGTAGTCATTTTGTCGTATGTGAAAACTGTATGATATGCATTTTTTCTGATAAACAAAAATAAAATTTGAGGTATAAATTTTTTATCCTTTTTTGGCTGTATACTTGCTGTTGTGTTGAAATATAAATTTTATGAAAAAAATTTGTATGCAAAATTTGACTTTTTTGTGTTTATAAGTAGTCCAGGATGACTTTCTCTCCCAAAAAATCCCAAAATCACAAGAAAATGTTTTTTTTTGTAAACACGATTATTATCTTTTGTTTCATTTGTTTAAATAAAAATAAATTTGTAAAGAAAACAGCAGTTTTTTTCTCAACCATCATAATTTCAAACTAAAAATTATCTAGCCAAATTGAAAAAGTTACTTTTTGGGTATATATTTCCATGTGAAAATATACAAGTTAACTTTTTTTGGCTAAAACCACCAAATGCAGTTTATCTGCGTAGTAACTGCCAGTCACACTCTGGGTTTTCTCAAGTCAAAAAATCCTTGGCTAGTGTTTCGGTTGAAACTCGAAATTTCGAAACTAAATTTTTTTTGTATTTTCGTGTATGAAAAAAAATGCTTGTCATACAATTTGATATTAAGGAAAAAATGCTTATTTTGCTGTTTTCATACATACACTTTTACTCTATGAAATTGTATGAAAAAGTATGATAAGCATTTTTTTCATATATGAAAAATGTATGATAACCATTTTTTGTCAACCCGAGTAAGCACAAGAAGAGAAAATTTTGTTCAAGAAGATACGTTTAACTTTTTATACTTTCACGAAAAAGGAATGCTAATGGAAGTTAGTAAGTCTGAGATTGTATTTATAAAGTTTGTTGCCAAATAGTTCGGATCTCTTTAATTTTCCCTCCAATTGCAAAATTAACATATAGTTACCGACCGTTAAATTGGTTCTTTATAGGGGTGGCATTTCGTTACCAAGGGACCAAGGAGGGGTTGTTAAAGAGATCCAAAAGTTCAACTAGTCTTCGTCTAACGACACACTGCGATGCAAATTTGGGTCCTTCTCAACATTCTCCTCAAATCCCCCATACACATTGCCTTTTGGGTAGAAGTTTGCTACGAGACATGTGACGTCATCGTCCATCGCCACTCCTGTTTTTTTTTCGTAAATTCAACATTAAAATTGTTTGGTTTTACAACTAGGCTTCAGCAATATTTCAATTGAATCATTTCCTCATTGGAGATATATCTCAAAAGAAATATTGATTCAAATGAAATTTTGCTGCAATTATCAAATCAAAGATTATTTTAATTATCAAATGAACGGGGTTAATTGTTTTTCTTGCTCCCGTTATAGACCACAACCTACACTTATAGACTATATGAAATACAAACGTATTCCTTTTTGTAGGGCTCGGCATTTCGTGGGCAAAATCATTTTGTTATAACTAGGGATTCTGATGGAAAAGAGCCAATAGTTCACTGTATCATTTTAGCACAAGTTATGCAAATTTAAAAAACGTACCCACGATACCAGTTGTGCTTAATTCTACATAACTTTTGATTCATTTGGGTGTAGAAGTTTTTGCGCTAAAAACCGATAACGGAGAATTTATCAGTCATCTTTGAAATTATTACGTCACTGACCAATTCCAACTTCTTGTGATGATTTCCACACTAGTTGAGTGAAGTGGCCACACCCCTCCTGCCATCCGGGAGAGTGGGGGTCATAGTTGTCCACTTCATTGTACCAGAAGGTCACGCCATGACTGGCTAAAACAAAATTCCGATCTTGTTAACTATTCCCCATCCCCCTATAATCACGAATCCACCCTATTCATGGGCAAATTAAGAGAGACCGGGGGTTCGAACCCCCCCAGGGATTCGACATCCTGCCGACACAAAGGGTTCCCTTTGTACTATTTTTTGAAAGATCCATTTTCGGTGACGGACCCTAAAAATTTTCTGAAGGCGCCTTGAGTGCCTATATATACTAATTTTGAGGAGGAGCGCGCGCCGAAAAAACGCTATTTTTTTAAATTTTAAAGTGATTTGGGTCCTTGTTTTGCTTTGGGATTTCCTTTAAAGCTCGGAAAATCAATTTAGTCGACCTAAGAAAAAAAGACCGACAAATTTTTCGAATTTTTTTTGAAAATCCGCCAGCCTCCCCCCTCCAGAAAGTCCTAGATCCGCGCCTGCCCCTAAAATCAAACAATTGAACAGATAAGCATTCACGAAGCGAGTACCATGCAACGAATCGAACCCACTCCCTTTTGCCAAAAGGGGGGTTAACAACTTCCAAAATTGAATCAAAATTATTACTAAAATATTCCCCTCTTCCAGCACAACCACATCTCTAAATTACAAACCCGAAAATCAACTATTTCAGTTATTAGACGACTAACCGTCGAAGTTAAATCTGCGTGACATGGCAAATATGTTTTGGCCGAAGTCCCGAACAGCATAATGTTTCAGACAATTGCTCTCTACAGTCTTTTCAGCACACTCTTGGGCCAATTTGGTCAGCTTGGCTGAAACAGTTTCGATACACTTACACAAAAAGCAAACGCGTGTCTAAATTGCTTGAATTATCTCAAAGTATGATTTTAACGCAAGTTACTTGATATTAAAAAGCGTGTTCAAAGTATGATTTTAACGCTTGATTTTAAGTTACTTGATATTAAAAAACGTACCAAAAATTATGTTTTTGAGAAAAAACAACATGAACTTAATAGAGTTTTAGTTTGTTTTAAATTCTTATGAAAACAGTTTAACCTTCCTCGCCTAAATGGCGAAAATTGATTGAAAAAATGAAAGTCGTTTCCAAGCGTAAAAATGAAAGCAGTATCCTTCAAATTTGGCGGTCATATACTCACAGTCGGTGTCAAAGGTCAACTCTACTGCATTGTGAAGACGCCTGAAATGGTTGATTTTGTCTGCTGCCTTCAATTTCAAACTGAGATGTGATTTACTGCCGCTGTCCTTAAGTGATGACATTTGAGTGATTTTACTTAAAAAACTACTGAATGTATAACAATTGCATATAATTAGAAATTTGTCTCCCGAAATTGTTCATCAAAGATTTTAACTAATTATAACTCTTTTTGAAATGAAAATTGTTTAATGTTCGAACATAATCGTTTAAGAATGTGAAAACAAGTACAGATTCAAAGTTAAATGAAGTCGAATTTACGCTGAGTTTTGTAATGCTTTAAAAATAAAACAAACGCTGCTCTCTTATTTTGAGTTGAAAGTAAATATTAAGACAAACAAAAACCATACAACAATCAAAAAGCGTGTGTAAAGTAGCTGTGAAACGTACAAACACATGATACGTGAACTTTATGGATGATATTACGGTTAGAAACTTTTCGATCGCTTCATCAAAGCTTCCCTAGAACACCTAGAAATTAATATGGACCATGATAGATGAAATCAACGGTGATGATCTTTTATACTTTTCAATTTCATTGTATCGAGTTTTGGCTAAAGTGACGGAAAGCATGTGCTCGGTGTTTTTTTTCCTTCAGAAAAATTTTAATTTTTTTATTAGCGACTTTTGGTTGAATTTTTTAAATCGGCCAAAAAACTATTGTTGTCTTGAGCTCAAAAATGGAATAGATTTTTAAACGTTTATTCATTGTGTGTAGAGTTATGGGGCTTAAGGTTGCCAAATTAGGCTATTGGCATAACTAATCGTCGTTATATTTCGTGCTATTAACGCGGGAGCGGAGTTTTATCCCATCCTAGAAATCTTTAGACTTCTAAACTTTGGGTCATCTTACTATAGTAAATTTCTTTGCGCAAATTACATTTCTTTGTATTCTACATAGCGTGTGGGCGATTTTTTTTCAAAAAAGTTTTTATAACAATTTAATCATTTTTTTTAAAAAGCAAACCCTACTCCATCAACCCTAAAATCGTCTCTTTTTTAAAGTTTCGAATCACGACTCAACTAATACTAAAATTCTGCTCAACTTAGCAATTGTTAATGGCCTAAATTGAACAAAAAGAAGCCTGTTCGCTCCCTTTGTTTGCCGGAAATTTTACCGAAATTCAAAAACTTCAAACGGGTTTTTCTTGCCACAATAAGATTTTTTCAAAACTTTTAGAGGGTCGTTCTGAAAACTCTGGGTCGTTCTCCAGCTGACACATTACAATCCCCAATCCCAAAAAATAATAAAAAGCAAGTGTTTTATTGAGTTACTTTTGATATAGTTTTTGCCCGAAAAATTGGTTGCAGTGGGGGGGGGGGGGGGGGGGGTTAAATGGGAAATGGAGGAGGGAAAGGCAATTGTTGGTGGAGTCAATGAGTTAGTTGGTTGTTTAGCTTTTTATTGATATAAAAAAGATTATGATCGTTTACCTAATCGTTTCTTCGTCAAAACAGAACTAGAATTGTTTATTGTGAAATTTGAAAAACAAATTTTTGAGTATGAGTTTTAATTAAGACATTTTGCAATTGTAAAAAAAAGCAAAAACGAGTTAATACTTATATGGATTTTTTTGTGCTTTTCAACTCTTTTTATCAAATCATTGAAAAAGAATGGATACAAAAACTGAAAATGGTTTCTAAATATTTAAACTAAGTTTTGCAAAGTCGTCCAAATTTGAAACTTGATTGTATAAAATTTGAAACCAAAAGAAACAAAACTCTAAAAACCCAAACTAGTAATATAACTTAGATAACGAAGAAAACATTTTAAATTTTGAGCGCGAAATTTTTGAAGTCGACTTATCAGCAAATAAGCCGAAGCTAATATTCAAAAAATGGGTTTTCACCAACACGTGTTAGTCTGCTTTAAAAATCTTCAGAAGCCCTTTCTAAAAGCACAGTTTTGATAAAATGCACAGGTGGTTGTTCATGAAGTAATTTGTCGCCTTTGTATTCGAAAGATTGAAATTTCTAATAACAGAACTTTTTTCTGCGAAAAAAACATCACAGAAAAAAAGACTTCTGGTGTAGTTGGGACAAATATCCCAACCATCGAAACAATCACATACATTTGAACATTGTTATTTAAGATTATAATTATAGTTTTTGTTTAAAAAAATCAACCAATTTCGGTTGTTTATTTTTGAGTTTTAGTTTCTTGAACGTACAAAAGTGATATTTTATCTTGAAGTTCAATTTATATTTCAATATATTACTTTTTCCGAATGTTTTTATAATCCGAAAAAGTCTCACCCCAAACTGCGAAGTTTTAAAATTATTGTTCGTTTACATTCACCAATTGTTTAGTAAAAATTATTTAAGGATTGATCAATCCATGATAAACACCTTTGGTCTTCTATGGAGGTAGTACATAAATCAAGAAAAAAGGAAGCTTTTAAAAACAAAAAAGCGTTAGAATCAAGTTTGCGTGCATCATCAAAGTTTTTTCCAACCAATCTCAATTGCTGATTTCAGCCAGTCTCAATTTTCAACCAGTCTTCAATATGATTTATTCCTCAGTTTCTTTCAAAATTTGGAAAATTCGGTCTAATTGATTCTGCGTGTTAAGACACATTGAATTTTAAACTCATTGTAACTGTACTTTTGGTCGTTTTTAGGTCTACATCAAGAAAAAATTCTCTCTTTCTTATTTTGAAAAAAAGTTTACAAGATCCGACATCTTAATTTGACACTAGTGTCTTGGTCAAAACATGAAATTTTTGATTAATAAAAAATGGGTCTGTTGTGTTCGTTTTTTAAACCTCGAAATAGATTTGATCGAACGAAATTTGAAACTGTTTCCGATGTTCCTCAATCGAAGCATCTGACCAGTTGCTTCGCCTTGTTATTATAATTTTATTGAGAAATTTTAATATTTTCAGTGGACTCGATCTTTTTTTGTTCATCAGTAAGAGTACGAGCTAAAATTTGTCTGCTATTAAATCAAAACTAGACAACTGTACCGATCATTGGCAATACGGAGAGACTATTGTATTTTCAGGTGTTTTTTCCCACACTAAACCAGCTACAGCCACAGGACATAGAAATTGTAAACTTTTGATTTCGAAAAGCGGATTAACAAATTTTACCTTTTTCTCTACAAATATGAGATATCCATTTTGGCTGACTGATTTTCGGCGCCAAAAAATATTTTTTAAGGGGGGGGGGGACGCGAGACGAGAAACGCAGTGTTTTATTGTCAAAATTTTTCAGAAAATCCCAAAAAACGCAGTTTTTTGAATTGCGATCAATATAGATTTTATATAATAATTTGGGAGAGCTCAGAAAATCAATTTGGACGACTCAAAAAAAGTCGACAAGTTTTTTTTCAAAGAAAAGCAAAAAATAATCCGCGCCTAATTTTCTGCTCTTAAATAGAAATTAAGAAATAACTGATTTCGTTAATAAAATATATGCATGATAACTGTAAAATTGCAATTTTTTTTCTTATGTGTCATTGTATATTATTTTCATTTGAGCAAATAGTATAAAGTTTATAAAACAATGAATCTTACAGTGATCACATGCTGATGGATATTGCATGAAATTTCAGTTACAAAAGTACATTGCAGCAAGCTGGCGATGGAAATTTATATTTACATCTAAGTTCTTCTGGAGCAATACTATATACATATGGAAAATTTTTGGCTATGTTTGCCAATTTAACCATCCATGCACCGCTCTCTGTGATGCGAATCACCTATTTTGTTTTTTAATAGTTTTCCACATATATCGCACTCGCATGGGTTTTTTACAGTAGCAACTTTGGGCTGCTCTTCTTTTCTTTCCTTCCAAATCGCAAACAAATGGTCTTCCAATAGATCGCTATCTCTTTCTACTCTTGGAATCATTGTTTATGAATGCAAATCATTTCCAGCCGAGATAAAATATTGCTGATTGTCCCATGAAAAACTCCGATACAGAGAAAATGTGCGTAGCCATGGAAATTTTTTCGAAGAAGCAGTAGTTTCTTTGAAATAATTGACCATACGCAGATTTCGTCTGGTGCAATTACTAAAACGCAATCAACTGATTCCAGTTTTAACTGCTCCAACTCTATTTTGATCAGAGTACCATAGTCGGTAGCAAAAAGAACTAGTCGGTTGTCACTTTCATCAATGAAGCATAAATAGCCATGTTTATTTTGGGCATTTGTGGGAAATGATAAAGAAACGGTTATTGTGTGTGAATTTAACCATAGAACTCTCAGAATCCCAGTATGACCACTCTACTAGAACGTGCCATACGAAAAGCCAGAGAAAACTTTCGTTTTTCGGGTAACTGCAAGGATAATCAGAAAAACTATCTCGAAACTTTCTAGCGCTCCTGTCGCTTAATAAAACCATGAAGCTGACAGAAAAATCAAGAAACAAGGGGAATGCGTGAGTAATGAATGAGGACCTAATGAAAAGTTTCCAAGGTTTGAATTCAAAGTCGTTTTTTTTTCTGCTTAGCTATTGTAATCTTCCTCAACTAAGTGGCGAAAATTGAACGAAAAAATGAAAGTTTTTTCCAGGCGTAAAAATGAAAGCAATATCCTTCAATTTTGGCCGCCATACACCCACAGTCAGGTTCAAAGGTCAACTCTACTGCATTGTGAAGACGTCTGAATTGGTTGATTTTGTCTGCTGCCTTCAGTTTCAAACTGAGATGTGATTTACTGCTGATGTCATTAAGTGATGACATTTGAGTCAGTTTACTTCAAAAACTACTGAATGTATAACAATTGCAATTAATTAGAAGAAAACTGCTATTTTTGTCTCCCGAAATTGTTTATCAAAGATTTCAAACAATTATAACTCCATTGCAACGAAAATTGTTTGATGTTTGAATATAATCGATTAGTACAAGTACTGATTCAAAGTTAAATGAAGTCGAATTTACGCTGTTTTGTTGTGTTTTAAAAATAAAACAAACGCTGCTCTCTTATTTTGAGGTGAAAGTAAATATTAGGACCAACAAAAACCATACAACAACCAAAAGCGTGTGTAAAGTAGCTACAAACACATGATATGTGTACTTTATGGATGATATTACAGTTAGAAACTTTTCGATCGCTTCATCAAAGCTTCCCTAGAGCACCTAGAAATTAATATGGACCATGATAGATGAAATCAACGGTGGTAATCTTTTATACGTTTTATTTTCATTGTATCGAGTTTTGGCTTAAGTGACGGAAAGCATGTGGTCGGTGTTTTTTTCAGGAAAAATTTGAATTTTTTTATTAGCGACTTTTGGTTGAATTTTTCAAATCGGCCAAAAAACTATTGTTGTCTTGAGCTCAAAAATGGA